GACACAGAGTGAACCCCCTGCCGGCTGTCTGATCTTTTGCATTAAACACTCCTCACCCAGTGGAAGGTACCCTCACCCTTCCCCAAGGCCTTAGCGAACCTCAGGGGCCGTATTTTCTGCTTATGCTTAAATTGCAGGATTTCTCCATTCTTATTCTAGCAGTGGGGGGAAAGGTGCTGAGTGCTGATCCCGGCTCTGCTTGTGAAGTGGCCCTGCTTAAGCTGTGTAATGTCTCTGAGCTTCGGTTTTCTCACCCGTAAAGTGGCCTTCTCAGGAGCACTGATCAACAGCGTCCTTCTGTGTAGACTGACTCGCAAGTATTACAGTTTTCTCAGCCGTGTGTTGGTGACATAACACAGATTTTTGCTAACACTAGTGTCACGCTTACTACGCACAAGACACTCTTCCCCAAGCTCTACCTTGTCCAGCCCTCACCGTGCCATCCCCATCCGTTGCACAGATGAGCACACTGCGGCGCAGAGTGCTTAGATGACTCGCCCAAGGCCCTCACATGAGCAAATGGCAGGGCCAGTAGTCAAGCCCACGATGACTCTATGGCCCAAACTAATGTTAGATAGAAAATGACAACGGCAGACCATGAGCTACTAAGTCCTGCACAAAGAATTTCCACTACAGATGCAAACTTCGCCAGCCTGGAAACTGCTGAATTGATAGACTACTTTCTTCCTTTTTCTCAGCCCTCATTCGGCTGGTGCTAGTGGAGTACGACTCCTCCCAGGGTGCCACTTCGCCTGAGAAACGGATGCCAGCGAGCACTGGCCCTTCTCTCCTAGAATCCAAACTCCTCTTGCCACGGGTCAAGAACCAAACCACTCTGTAGAGCAGGAGAGGTTGTGGGAGCCTGCTGGGACCGCAGGCTGGCGGCTCCGACAGCAGGGATGGCTCCTCGCGGCTCTGGGGGCTAGAGTCTCAGGCTGAGGTGGCAGCAGGGTGAGCCTCCTGAGTGGCGCGAGGCCTGTCGCGCTCCTTAGAGATGACGCCCTCCCTGCATTTGCACGCCGCCTTCTCTCTGTGTATCTTTTTTTCTTGGCAGGGTGTTTTGTGTATAAGGACCTCAGTCCTCGTGGCTCCGTGGCCTGTTCTGTTCCATCATCACTATATCTTAACTGATTGCATCTACAACAATGCTATTGTCAAATAAGGCACGGAAGGGTTCGAATGTAAATATAGGAGTTCAGGGGGACACAATTCAACTCCTAACAGCAGTCAGGGGCCAACAGGTGGCATGGGAGTGAAGGTGCTGGACTCCCGCATGGGCAACTGTGGTTAAAGTCCCGGACCTGGCAGCTTGCTCTCTCTCTCTCTCCCTCCCTCTCTCTCATCAAATTGAAGAAGAAGGGGAAAAAAAATTAAATAAATAATTCAAAAAACAAAAAGCCAAGAGTCAGCAATCTCCAAGCCTCTTCTTGTTTGAAGACCTTGGGCAGGCTCCGGTGTGGCTGGATACGTAATCCTTGTAGACAAAAGTGTCTTAGTGAGCCCCATGGCTACATTCTGCTGTGTGCTCCAACCATCCAGTGAAGGGTCTCCCTTTCCCTCCATGGAGACTCCTGGGGTGCACTGCCCTGTGGTCTGTGGGCACGCCCCAAGCTCCTGAGCCAAGAAGCATCCATGGTTCTTTGGACCCTAACTCCCCAGTCTGAGGGCACATATCTCTGTGAGCCTGTGGTGACTTCTTCAGTAACCCATCATGAGGATGTTAAGTAAATAGACTTCAGGGAGGGTTTGAAGCTGGAATAAACAAGCATGTGAACCAAAGGAATAAAGTCCGAGAATCTGGAAAAATTGGGCCATAGCAAATTGTAGGCTCGAGTGGACCCTTGGAGAACCACGCCCCGCGTTGCTGAGGGACAGTCTGCCTACCCCTCAGCCGACTGCCCTAGCAGGTCCTCGAACAGAAGTTCCTTCCCGCTCCAGCCACTCCCAAAAGTCTTCTGCAGGAACTCACTGGAACCGCATTCTGCATCCCCAGCTCTTCATTTTCAAGGTATGGAGGAGCAGTCTCTATACTTTATGAACGAAGACTTAAGTGTCAAATCGACAGCAATAAAGGTTACCATGAGGGAATAACAATCACTTTTTTAACTGGCATTTTACTCGCCGTAAGACAAGCACACCAAGTAACTTTTCCAAATGTCTCGAATTTTCACATCCATTTTCTTCTGTATAAAAAGACCAGGCTTGGGAACCAGCAGTTAGCGTAATGGCTATGTCACTGGACTCCCACGTAGTCGACCGTGGTTCGCGTCCTAGACCTGGTGGCTTAGAACTCACGCCGGGCGCGTGGCCGTGCATGCCCAAGACACTGTGAG